TGACTCTCTTCACCTACAGCACACCAGCAGGTTGACTCTCTTCACCTACAGCACACCAGCAGGTAAGGATCTACAATTAGGTTTGTTAAATTCTTGACCTGGTGGAATGTTTTTTTCTTTTTTTCCAGCAAAAATACAATTTTACTTCAAACCTAAGGACACATTGGACTTTAGATGTCTGCAATGAATCTGATGTCGGTTATATTAATAGGTCACATATGTGAAGATCTCGTGTGACCCACATGAAGGTAAATATGAGTGCTAGCTAGACACATTGTTCCATGGATCTTGTAGCGTGAGGATTCTATACAAATCTGTCATTTGTTTGAACAGCTCTCTGATACCTTACCTGCCTTAGCACTGGCTTTGTGTCCTCTACTGGCTCTGGATTAGACAAGGTGCTAAGAAAATATTTATACAGTGGAACGCCCCCACACAGTGATAGAGAGGGCGCTGCGCCTCCGTTCACCCCGCAACTGTCAATATGTACCTGCTGAGAGATGAACTGATTGTAAGCGTTGTCAGTCCTCTCCCAGTCCCTCCTCTGGCTGCCACAATTTAGCTCCTGAGCAGAAGCAGCATTGTCCTCCTTGGCATGCTCACGTAGTGGACTTTAGACATGGGTGCTGACACTCAGTATATACAGACAGGCAGCCCATAGTGGGCCCCGCTACTGAACCCCCCATAGCGAATCCTGCCTACTTAACAAAGCTGTGTTGCCCAAGCACTGCTTCATCATAGAAATATTGTCTCCATCTCTCTCCATATCTGCAAAGCAGTAGAAAGAGAGACACAGACACTGTGTTGAAGCATACTTCATTGACAAACATGTTTAGACACCCTCCCCTAAAATGACTGAGTTCAGGTGCTGAAAGCCAGCTACATAAAGGCTTGGTTTGACCATTTTGGTGTGTAGGCAGGCCTGGACTGGCCATAGGGCACACCGGGCACTTTCCCGGAGAGACAGGGACGCTGGGCCCAACCCCCAGTCCGCAGAGTGGTCCATGGCCTGTTGATGACCGGACTGCGTAGCAGGAGGTAAGTTCCAACTGTGGTCTGGACAGAGTTAACCCAGACCGCGGTTGCCACTCACTCTCCCGCTATATGGCCGTGCCGGTGTCTCTTCTCCCTGCTGTCCCGTCCCACTGTGGGAGGAGCTGGAGTAATCAAATGTGATTCCCCTAAACCGATCCAGCCCCGGTCCCCCCAAAACAGTGCACAACTGCCCATTCTGCTGAATGGAAGGACTGAGGAGCGAGGAGGGGGCAGAGTCCCACACTCAGGGAGGAGCGGTCAGGGGCCTCACCATGCCCAGCCTGGCTGTGAAGCAACTACATATGATTGACAGAGAGCCAGAACCACTTTATAGAGGTACAGAGAACTCCGGGGGGCCCCAAAAGTGTGAGAAAGAGAGGTCTACTATACACAGAGAGGGGGAGACAGAAGGAGAGAGTGAGGGAAGGACAGAGAGAGAGGGGGAAAAAAAAAGCGAGATAGAAGGAGAGTGAGATGGATCTGCATACAGAGAGATCTACTGTACAGAGAGATCCCATATACAGAGAGAGATTTGGAGAGATCTATATAGAGATACAGAAATCCAAATCACAGAGAGATCCTATGCAGGCAGGGGTCCCATAGACGAGAGATCTACTATTCATAAATACAGAGTTCCAATACATGGGGAGATCCTCTATACAAAGAAATCTACTATAGAGAAAGGAGGGTCAGATACATGGATATATCAGCTATACAGAGCAATTCCTTATACAGGGAGACCGAAAACTACTATACAGAGTTCCGATATATACAGAGAAAAGAGAGAAAGGTCCGATACATGAAGAGATCTGATATATAGACTGGAGTCCCACATATAAAGAGAGTGATCTTCTTAGATAGATCTGATATACAGAGTGCTTGAGAAAGGGGGGTGCAATGTGACCATTCCTGTGTTTCCTCTCCCGGCCCTGGAGCTGGGGATCTTATCATATTAATCACCCACTATTAAATATGATCCATATCTGCATCTCCTCCCATTCCCTGCTCTGCTGATAGGAGGACATCGTTGGTGGAGCAGGGGGCCTGGAGAGGACACATGGACTGAATCCTGCCTCTGCCCTGCCTAAGGTGCGACTGTGCAGGGGAGGCAGAGAGTAAAAGGGGGCACTGTGATTAGAGAAAAAAGGGGAGAGGGCTGTGATTGCTAGGGGCACTGTGATGGGGGGCTGTGATTACTAGGGGCACTGTAATGTAAAGGGGCACTGTGATGGGGGGCTGTGATTACTAGGGGCACTGTAATATAAAGGGGCACTGTGATGGGGGCTGTGATTACTAGGGGCACTGTAATGTAAAGGGGCACTGTGATGGGGGGCTGTGATTACTAGGGGCACTGTATTGTAAAGGGGCACTATGATATAAAGGGAACTGCACTGTAATCATTACAGTGCCCCTTATTACAGTGTGGAGAACCAACCGTGAATATCTCTTCACCAACCGCCCCCACAAACACCCCACCTGGTTGCTGGACAAATTGGCTGCTCAGTCTAAAAAGTCCGGGCCTATTTTTTTTGCCCCACTCCGGGCCTGTGTGGAGAAACTTGGAGTGGCCTGTACAAAGCCTGATCTGAACCCTACCAAACACCTCTGGGAATTGGAATGCCAATTGTGAGCCAGGACTTTTTTGTCCGACATCAGTACCTGACCTGACAAATGGGTGCAAATTCCCCCAGACACGCTCCAAAATCTTGTGGAAAGCCTTGAAGAGTGGAGGATATTATAGCCCCAAAGGAGGGACAACTCCAAATCAATCAGATGGGATGGAATGGAATTTCGAACAAGCTCATACAGATGTGATGGCCAGACATTCAAAGTAATATGGCCATTTAATGTAATTTATACCCTCAGAGAAAATTTAAATATTCTAAATATTTTCTTGGTATGTTCTTGGTCATCCTTGCTCAACCAGGGTTCCATGGAATCCTAAGGTTCTTCCATATGTTGATGGGGGTTCTTTTAGAAGAGTGCAGTAGAAAACTGATCTACATACACTGACCACCAATGCAAGTGGTTACTACTACATTGACCACCAACATAAGGGGCTATTTATACAAAGACCACCAATGTAAAGGGTTACTTCTACACTGACCACCAATATAAAGGTTTACAGTGGGGATCGAAAGTTTGGGCACCCCAGATAAAAATCTGTATTAATGTGCATAAAGAAGCCAAGGAAAGATGGAAAAATCTCCAAAAGGCATCAAATTACAGATTAGACATTCTTATAATATGTCAACAAAAGTTAGATTTTATTTCCATCATTTACACTTACAAAATAACAGAAAACAAAAAAATGGCGTCTGCAAAAGTTTGGGCACCCTGCAGAGTTAATATCTTGTACTGCCCCCCTTTGGCAAGTATCACAGCTTGTAATTGCTTTTTGTAGCCAGCCAAGAGTCTTTCAATTCTTGTTTGAGGTATCTTTGCCCATTCTTCCTTACAAAAGTCTTCCAGTTCTTTGAGATTTCTGGGCTGTCTGTCACGCACTGCTCTTTTAAGGTGTATCCATAGATTTTCAATTATGTTGAGGTCAGGAGATTGTGAAGGCCATGGCAAAACCTTCAGTTTACGCCTCTTGATGTAATCCCCCGTGGATTTCGAGGTCTGTTTAGGATCATTATCCATTTGTAGAAGCCATCCTCTCTTTAACTTCAGCTTTTTCACAGATGGCATCAAGTTACCATCCAAAATTTGCTGAAATTTGATTGAATCCATTTTTCCTTCTACTCGTGAGATGTTCCCTGTGCCACTGGCTGCAACACAACCCCAAAGCATGATTGATCCAACCCCATGCTTAACAGTTGGACAGAGGTTCTTTTTTAATTAAATTCTGTGCCTCTTCTTCTCCAAACGTACCTTTGCTCATTCCGGCCAAAAAGTTCAATTTTAACCTCATCGGTCCACAGAACTTGTTTCCAAAATGCATCAAGCTTGTCTATATGTTCATTTGCAAAGTTCAAATGATGATGTTTGTGGTGAGGACGTAGAAGAGGTTTTCTTCTGATGACTCTTCCATGAAGACCATATTTGTACAAGTATCTCTTTATAGTGGAATAGTGTACCACAACTCCAGTGTCTGCCAGATCTTTCTGGAGGGATCGTGCAGTCAAACGTGGGTTTTGAATTGTTTTTCTCACAATCCTGCGAGCTGTTCTGTCTGATATTTTTCTTGGTCTTCCAGATCTTGCTTTAACTTCCACTGTTCCTGATGACTGCCATTTCTTAATTACATTCCGAACAGAGGATATTGACATCTGAAAACGCTTTGCTATCTGCTTATAGCCTTCTCCAGCTTTGTGAGCGTCAACTATTTTCAGTTTCAGTTTTCTAGACAACTGCTTAGAAGAACCCATGGTGCTGATTGTTGGGGCAAGGTCAGATGAGTCTGGGCATTTAAAACCTTTGAGATTGACATCACCTGGTCTTCCCAGATGATGATTGAGAACAATCCATGACACTGGCAGGTCTCAGCTTGGCAAAGGGGGCAGTGCATCCTATAAATTCTGCAGGGTGCCCAAACTTTTGCAGACGCCATTTTTTTTGTTTTCTGTTATTTTGAAAGTGTAAATGATGGAAATAAAATCTAACTTTTGTTGACATATTATAAGAATGTCTAATCTGTAATTTGATGCCTTTTGGAGATTTTTCCATCTTTCCTTGGCTTCTTTATGCACATTAATACAAATTTTTATCTGGGGTGCCCAAACTTTCGATCCCCACTGTACATCTACACTGGCAACCAAAGTAAGGGTCACTTCTATACTGGCTACGATGGCCACCAATGAAAGGGAATACTACTACATTGACCACCAATGTAAGGGGTTGCTTCTACACTGACCACCAACATAAGGGGCTATTTATACAAAGACCACCAATGTAAAGGGTTACTTCTACACTGACCACCAATATAAAGGTTTGCATCTACACTGTTGACCAAAGTAAGGGTCACTTCCAGGGGCGGACTGATCATTTGGAAACTCGGGCACTGCCCGAGGGCCCGGGGTCAGTAGGGGGCCCCATGAGATGCCCCTGGTACCTTTTTTTAGGCTTTTTTTTAATTTGGCCAAGGACACAGGGGCCCCATGATCCCCTATTGCCCAGGGGCCCCATGAGTTGTCAGTCCGCCCCTGGTCACTTCTGTACTGGCTACAAGGGCCACCAATGAAAGGGAATACTTCTACATTGACCACCAATATAAGGGGTTACTTCTACACTGGCCACCAATGTAAGGGGCTACCTAAACACTGGCCACCAATGTAAAGGGTTACTTCCACACTGACCACCAATGTAAGGGGTCAATTCTACACTGACCACCAATGTAAGGGGTTACCACAATTTGTACTGGCTGTGTTCCTTTCTGGACACTATTATTCTTTTTTTCATGATTATTAAGTAAACTCCATTCTTTATTCTTTTTTTTTAACTCTCTACAACCCACTAATGTTCGCACTAATGTGTAGGTCTAATACTTCTAGTTGGGGTTCCATGAGACTTAAAAACTATTTCAAGGTTTCTGCCATGATGAAGTCTGCTCTAGTCTCAGTCATCTGTCAGAGCTCTCTGTGTGATCCAAGCTTGGCAAATATCGCACAGAAAACATACATGACACAATCCATCACAATGTTCCTGAGTTCACTTGTAGCATTTTTGTTACATTGTGCGATGCTGACAGGTTTCATATATGACGTTTTTCTTGGATCTCTCATTGCTTTTGTCTGGAGCTGAAATTCATCTGCGTTCCAGACGTTTGTCTGGAGACAGGGAAATCATTCTCCTATGTAAAAATTTTATATACACTCACCGGCCACTTTATTAGGTACACCTGTTTAATTGCTTGGTAACACAAACTGCTAATCAGTCAATCACATGGCAGAAAACTCAATGCATTTAGGAATCTAGACGTGGTAAAGATGACTTGCTGAAGTTCAAACAAAACATCCGAATAGGGAAGAAAGGGGATTTAAGTGACTTTGATCTGGCATGGTTGTTGGTGCCAGATGGACTGGTCTGAGTATTTCAAAAACTGCTGATTTACTGGGATTTTCATGCACAACCATCTTAGGGTTTACAAAGAATGGTCCAAAAGGAGAAGATATCCAGTGAGTGGCAGTTGTATGGATGAATATGCCTTGTTGATGTCAGAGGAGAATGGGCAGAATGGTTAGAGATGACAGAATGGCAACAGCAACTCAAATAATTAATTTATAATCGTTACAACCAAGGTATGCAGAATACCATCTCTGAATGAACAACACATCGAACCTTGAAGTAGATAGGCTATAGCAGCAGAAGATCACACCAGGTGCCACTTTTATCAGCTAATAACAGGAAATGGAGCCTACAATTCACACAGGTTCACCAAAACTGGACAATAGAAAATTGGAAAAATGTTGCCTGGTCTGATGAATCTCGATTTCAGCTGCAACATTCAGATGGTAGGGTCAGAATTTGGTGTAAACAACATGAAAGCATGGATCCATCCTGCCTTGTATGAACGGTTCAGGCTGGTGGTGGTGTAATGGTGTGGGGGATATTCTCTTGGCACACTTTGGGCCCCTTAGTACCAACTGAGCATCGTTTAACTGCCACAGCCTACCTGAGTATTGTTGGTGACCATGTCCATCCCTTTATGACTACAGTGTACTCATCTTCTGATGGATACTTCTAGCAGGATAGTGCACCATGTCACAAAGCTCAAATCATCTCAAATTGCTTTCTTGAACATGACAATGAAATAGAGCACTTTTGGGATGTGCTGGAACGGGAGATTTGTATCATGGATGTGCAGCCGACAAATCTACAGCAACTGCGTTATGCTATCATGTCAATATGGACCAAAATCTTTGAGGAATGTTTCTAACACCTTGTTGAATCCATGCCATGAAGAATTAAGGCAATTCTGAAGGCAAAAGGTGGTCCAACCTGGTACTAGCAAGGTGTATAAGGTAGCCAGTGAGTATATGTCGCTGTGGATTAGCAGAGTGGAGAGGTTCTGTTATAACTGGAGCAAAGAAGTCTGGAGATGTTACCAAAACAACAACCACCATATATCTTACTTTATATTCTGAGGAATGAGAAATGAAGACTGCTTGACGTGAGCTAACCTTTTGCTCCAGTGTGAAAAAAACAACCTCACACATTACATGAACCTAAACTTGACAAAGCTCTTAAATCAGTCTTTCCCAACCAGGGTTCCATGGAACACTTAGGTTCCTCCAGATGCTGTTTTGGGTTCCTCGAGAAATAAGTGAGAAGTTCCTTCTCCTCCAATATGTAACTACTTATACTAACGATCTTATTAACTATCAGGCATTTGTCCCACTGACCAGCAATCTAAAAGACCCATCTTTATTGACCACCAGTGTAAGGGAGCATTTCACTAACCACCAATCAAGGAATTATTTTCTCCCCTAACCATCAGTATAAGGGAGCATGTCACTGAGCACCAATGTTAGCAGACTTTTCTTTAATGACCACCAAGTGAGGGACCACTATTGTTTTCACTGTCTACATTTATCTCCTGACTATTATTATTGTCATTATTATTATTATACAGTATTTATAAACCGCCAATAGTTCGCTCAGCGCTGTACATTACAAAGGGGGACAGAACATGTGACAGAACAATACCAATACAATGCAAAACATGAGGGGATTGAGGGCCCTGCTCTTTGGAGCTTACAATCTAGGAGGGAGGGGATAGTGGTACAGGAGGAGATAGCTGTGGGGGACGGAGTGGTAGGAAGAGTGCAGGAGGTCGGTCAAGTTAGCAGGGGGTAGGGTAGGCTTCCCTGAAGAGATGGGTTTTCAGGGTGCGCCTAAAGGAGAGGAGAGTAGGTAATAATCTGATGGGTTGGGGCAGGGAGTTCCAGAGGATGGGTGACACCCTGGAGAAGTCCTGGAGGCGGGCATGGAAGGAGGAGACCAGGGAACTAGAGAGAAGGAGGTCTTGTGAGGAGCAGAGTGTGCGTGCTGGGCGGTACTTGGATATTAGGTCAGTGATGTAGTACGGGGCAGTATGGTGGACAGCTTTGTACGTCAATGTTAGGATTTTGAATTTGATCCGTTGCGCAATCGGAAGCCAGTGGAGGGATTGGCAGAGTGGGGTGGCGGAAAAGGAGCGGTTGGAAAGGTGAATGAGTCTGGCGGCCGTATTCAGGATCGACTGAAGCGGGGATAGCCTGTGGCGAGGCAGGCCAGTGAGGAGGGAGTTGCAGTAATCGAGTCGTGATATGATGAGGGAGTGGATGAGCTGTTTATGGGTTTCTGGGGTTAGGAACGTGCGTATTTTGGCGATGTTGCGGAGGTGGAGTCTGCACGAGTTTGTTAAAGATTGGACTTGGGGCTGGAAGGATAGGTTGGAGTCCAGAATGACACCAAGTACTCTGGCCTTATTATTATAATTATTATTATTATGACTTATTTCTGTGATATAGAGCAGGCCTTAGTGTCAAATATGCTAAATGTGTCACATTTCTAATTTTTTATTTATTCCCAAAGCGTTAGTAAATCCATTATACACTTATACCTGCAGGTAAGCTTACCTATGGGTACCATAAATGTTCCAGGTTGGTTATACAATGTCATTGAATAATCTTCCTCTGAGCCCGGGCTGTCATGGACACACTTCTTGAGGCAGGCTCATCTCATCAGCCTGGGCTCTCTGTACTACTCCAATAAATGTTGCTCATATGTCATGGTGTAAGATCTGTTCAATGCAGGAGATAATACTATCCATAACCACTGTCATAAGGACTTGTGATGTCATTTTAACCAGACAGAAGATTGTTCAACTAAAGGTATGTATAATTTTGTTCTCTTAAAATGAGATGTGGTTGGGTCCTCGGGGGTTGGATGGGGGAGGTCTTTTTTATGTAGACACAGAGTTGCACTTTAAACCACCTAGTGTGATTGCATAAAAATGATGTTGCGTACCTGATAGGAGACTGAAATGACGAGGTCGGCCTCACTTGTGTCACTAGCCCTGACCCCAGTGGAAGTGGAACAGAGGGTGTCTACGGACCATGGGGACAAGAGTGCCAACAGATGTTGCCTGAAGAACTTGCAGCTGGAGTCCTTAAAAGAAAGATTGACCACTGATTCAGGATCAGTAGCGATATGCAGAGCTGGTATTGTAGATTGCCAGGTGTGCACCAGAGCAAAGCAGGAAGCTGGGATGGGAGACAGGAGCAATGTCATAGGAATAGCCGGGGTAATCAATGGGCGGACAGCGAGGTACAAAATCATAAACAAGCCAAAGTCAGGAACAGAGCCGAAGTCAGGAACAGGGGTGGACTGACAACTCATGGGGCCCCCCGGACAATAGGGGATCATGGGGCCCCTGTGTCCTTGCCCAAACTCAAAAAAGCCTAGGAAAAAGGTACCAGGGGCATCTCATGGGGCCCCCTACTGACCCCAGGCCCTCGGGCAGTGCCCGAGTTTCCAAATGGTCAGTCCGCCCCTGATCAGGAACAAGTATCAAGCAGGAGAGTAATCAGAGTCAGGTCAGGAACAAGCCAGGTCAGCAACAAGGAAATAACACAGGAATGAGCAGGAAACGGGGAACAGCTGAAGACCAATCAGCACTCAGCACAGGCAGAGGCACCTTTTAAATAGTCCATCTGGCGCCAATCTTCACTGTGTGTGTGCACGAACACGCATGTCTGTGTGCATGCGCACATCTTCACTCTTCTACGGATATTTCCGTGCACATGCACATTTCTATTCACCTGCCATCTCACAGGAATCCCCTTACAAATGAGGCAGAGGGCAGAAGAGGTGACTGCACAGAGCTAGCCATCCAGTGATTCCATCCATTGTGGAAGGCTTCGTCATTTTCTGTCTTTAATTTTATCGCTCTCCCGGTGTTTCTTCCTCCGTCATACAGAGCATAATTTGCTGCCCATTTATTTTTCATCATTACAGCAATGTGTCAAGTTATCCTCTGTGTTGATGTTTTATAATCACAAAATAATTATTTCTATTTGAGGTTTTAAATTCTCGTAAAACAAAAAAAATGGAGAATTTTATCCAAATCCTTCTTTCCAGCTGTGGATCTATGCAAGCTGTATGCTGCTGCTTGCCAAACCGGAGCGACACTCTGAGGAATACTGAACCTGGAAAGCCATATTTTGACATTCACTTGTAGGATTACTGTGCTGCTGTGTGCCAAATCCAGACTTACCTCTCGGATTACTGCCCTAAATCCATTCCTGGGCATGAAGGGGGAGCCTGTGGCAGACTCATTGTATAAGCAGTAAGGATATCATGGCATTCCATGCCAAGCTGTGAGTGTTACCTAAAGGAATACCTTGCGCTGTGCTGCCAGACTGCTCATTACCCCTATGGAATGGTTGTTACAGAGTGAAATGAAAGTCAGCTATTCCAGGTGTCTGCTATCCCAAAGCATAGGCAATGTAGGGTAATGCCACTACAGGTGTCATCCTTCCCATTGTTCAGCATAATACAACACTGGTAGCTTTCTTACAATTCATTTTCAGCTTCCAGCCCAGCTAGCACAGAGAGAATCTATCAGTCTCTTTGCTAATTAGCAGCTGATCTCAAGCTCCAGTGAAAGTATATGAGTAGCATCTAAACTCAAGAACCTCAATGTATTATATTGCAGTTTATCAGTTCTCTGATTGGGTGGCTGCATTAGTTTTCTTTCTTTTTTCAGCCAAAGTAAAATTTCTGCAAGTACAGAAAAATACTTATAATATATAAACCTTTTTGTGAAATATTACAATAAAATAAACTAAATTAAAACATAAAGTGTTCAAAAAATCACAAAAGTCCAAAAACCAAAAACAAGTGTCCAAAAAAGTGTCCCAAAATAGTCCAAACAATGTCCAAAAAATCCCAAATTTTCAAGCTTTTTCATCAAATAAAAGGATTGGCTCCTATTCCATCCAGTAAGAACCTCAAAATAAAAGATACAAAATCTAGTGCATTACCATAGTAAAATAAAGTAATCACCCAGTGCAACTCTCAAAAAAATGGCCGTGGCGACACTTCCGGTCTGCGTGCGCGCATCTTGACGTCACTCCTCTAACGCGTTTTGTCACTTCCGGACTTTGTCTGAAGGGGTCCGGAAGTGACGAAACGCGTTAAGGGAGTGACGTCAAGACGCACGCACGCAGACCGGAAGTGTCGCCGTGGCCATTTTGTTGGTTATCCACATATGGTTTTTTACATTGTTTGGTGGAAATCGCCTAGAGCCATGTCTGGAGCTGAGATATCTATGTTTAAATGTAAGTGATTAATAAATCTATCCCTATGCTTTGAAATATCAGTCCTGAGACCATTGTTATCTTTCTGAGGACCTTGGAAAAAACGACTTTGAAGAGAGTATGGAGGATTTCTGATCCATAGTATTGTCAAAGCTTTTCAACACTCACAGAGGGTAATAGTATTTAGTGTGAAAAAAATATAGCGAGCGCTACAGGTACAAGAGCACAAGCAGCTAGAACACCAAAAAGGCAACCAATCCTCCTTGCAATAGTCAATAATAAAAGAAAAGTAGGTGCAGCGCTAAAAGCAAAATAAAATATTTCTCTGTAGGATAAATATATAAATATCAGTGGTCAAACAGATATACCACAAGGTGAATAGTGCATTGAGTCTATAAAGGGTGCTGAGAGCACGTACAAAGTTCTCATCCCAGGGTGATGGTAGTAAAAGGTAGAGGGAATCCTGGAAAACAGATAGAGTGCGCACTCACCAGAAGTGCGTTAAAATAACGCATGTAAGGAAGTAGCTGCTGCAAGATCTCTCCAGCATCAGGGATCTGGTCAGGTCGCACTGCGTCCTATCCACTGTCTCACCGCAAGAAGAGGTGGCCAAGTAGCATCCGAACGTGTGAGCGTCAGGGAACTCCTTGGTCCAAAGAAGTGCTGTGGGAGATGGTGCTCTCATAGAGAGCCCAATGAAGGACGCCACATGGTGTAATATTGTTTGACTTGCGTTTAATAGTCAAAAAAAGGGGGGTAAACAAAAAAGGGGGGGCTACAGCTTATGGACATCTAGCCACTATATGTGGCCTACTACTTATGGTCAGTACTTTTTTGTTTACCCCCCTTTTTTTGACTATTAAACGCAAGTCAAACAATATTACACCATGTGGCGTCCTTCATTGGGCTCTCTATGAGAGCACCATCTCCCACAGCACTTCTTTGGACCAAGGAGTTCCCTGACGCTCACACGTTTGGATGCTACTTGGCCACCTCTTCTTGCGGTGAGACAGTGGATAGGACGCAGTGCGACCTGACCAGATCCCTGATGCTGGAGAGATCTTGCAGCAGCTACTTCCTTACATGCGTTATTTTAACGCACTTCTGGTGAGTGCGCACTCTATCTGTTTTCCAGGATTCCCTCTACCTTTTACTACCATCACCCTGGGATGAGAACTTTGTACGTGCTCTCAGCACCCTTTATAGACTCAATGCACTATTCACCTTGTGGTATATCTGTTTGACCACTGATATTTATATATTTATCCTACAGAGAAATATTTTATTTTGCTTTTAGCGCTGCACCTACTTTTCTTTTATTATTTAATAGTATTTAGTACTATTGTGTGCTGGTTGATGGTGTGCACAGAGTTGTAGTGATCACTGAGTGTTCACAGCTGATTTGTGTTTATGCGCACTATAAGAAAGGGTTTTTGATTTGAATAATTTATTATATAAAATATATATATAATTTTTTCACGATATTGAGAGTTGCACTGGGTGATTACTTTATTTTACTATGGTAATGCACTAGATTTTGTATCTTTTATTTTGAGGTTCTTACTGGATGGAATAGGAGTCAATCCTTTTATTTGATGAAAAAGCTTGAAAATTTGGGATTTTTTGGACATTGCTTGGACTTTTTTGGGACACTTTTGTGGACACTTTTTTTGGTTTTTGGACTTTTGTGATTTTTTGAACACTTTATGTTTTAATTTAGTTTATTTTATTGTAATATTTCACAAAAAGGTTTATATATTATATTGCACTTTCTAGGGAGAAAGTATGACTTTTTGAGGGGTGTAAAGGAGAAGGGTATACATTTATACAGAAAAATACTTGTTACTCCTGAAAAATATTGAGTCCTGGGTGTGTAAGCACCCAGTAATAATGCCCAAGAAGTGCTGTGCAGCATTTTTTGGGCATTGTGAGATTTTGGTTGTTGGAACACATGATAGATGTTTGCAGCAATATTTTTTTTTTATATTTGGACACTTTTGAGTCTTTTTGTTGCGTTTCTTTTTTAGTTGTTATAATATTTTTTGTTAGCTTGGAATTATTTGGGATTATTAGATTACCCAGTAAAAGTGATCATCCAGTTTCATGATTTGTATACAATGAACATCAGGTACATTTTTTCCATATATAATGTTATACAATTTCATATTTTAAGAATGTGTGTTATATGATTATTAATATTTAGTTAAACATTCATGTAAAATTAGTGATTATTAATTATTTGATAAATGATTTTAAACATTCTATGTTAATATTCATCGTATGAGTTAAAAAAAGCTACTAGATGTGACACAATTTCTTTCTCTACTTTTATACTTTTATAAAATGCCATCTTTTATGTCTTTCATTGTCTTCTACATATTAGCCCTAGATAGAGATAAGGTAAGCTTGTCCCCGAAACACGTTGGCTGTATTTTATGTTCTTAACATTTATTTATATGTATCATTAAACTAGATGACCTTTTTAACAGACACTCTTTTGACATTAAGGCTTGAAGTCTTATTCAGTACACTTGTGGCAGCAAACTGGAAAGAAAATTGGATTCGAGTCTGTATCACATGGAGTGACAACCTTTCCCAGATTGTCCAGTTTATGATGTTGTTTCATATTTGGAAGCTAGACTTTACAAAGGGTTACACTGGAATCTTCTGCACTTTGTGTTTTTACCTTGGAATTCTTGCCATTTCCAGCAGAACCAACAGACCCTGAGTTGGCAGTAGCACCTCAGGAATTGTATCTATCTCTGGTAAAAGCCCAGACTCCAGTAGATGAAGCTCTAGGTAGCCCACTGCCCTGTGATGAGGATGACGGTACACTGGGCAGTAGTCATTGCTTCCCTAAGCGGTGTACCTGAGGACTTCTGCTTGTTAGGTATTCTGCTCATGTACTCTAATCATGTTTCAGTGTTATGCAATGCTGAGGATGGTGTTCTTTACGGTCAGGGAAAATGCAGCCAGATGAAGTTGGGTGGTGACCTCTGCCATGCCCAATGAATGATGGTATCGCTCTGTGGGCTTAGCTGTACTGATAGAGCCATTCTATGATAACTATGTCACTTTTAAAGTTCCAGAAGTATCTGTGCTGTGTAGTAGAATTACAGATGTGTCTGTGCTCTGTAGTAGGGTTATAGAAGTATCTGTGCTGTGTAGTAGAATTACAGATGTGTCTGTGCTCTGTAGTAGGGTTATAGAAGTATCTGTGCTGTGTAGTAGAATTATAGATGTGTCTGTGCTCTGTAGTAGGGTTATAGAAGTATCTGTGCTGTGTAGGAGAATTATAGATGTGTATGTGCTCTGTAGTAGGGTTATAGAAGTATCTGTGCTCTGTAGTAGAATTACAGATGTGTCTGTGGCTGTGCTCTGTAGTAGGGTTATAGAAGTATCTGTGCTGTGTATTAGAATTACAGATGTGTCTGTGCTCTGTAGTAGGGTTATAGAAGTATCTGTGCTGTGTAGTAGAATTATAGATGTGTCTGTGTCTGTGCTCTGTAATATGGTTATAGAAGTATCTGTGCTGTGTAGTAGAATTATACATGTGTCTGTGCTCTGTAGTAGGGTTATAGAAGTATCTGTACTGTGTAGTAGAATTATACATGTGTCTGTGCTCTGTAGTAGGGTTATAGAAGTATCTGTACTGTGTAGTAGAATTATACATGTGTCTGTGCTCTGTAGTAGGGTTATAGAAGTATCTGTACTGTGTAGTAGAATTATACATGTGTCTGTGCTCTGTAGTAGGGTTATAGAAGTATCTGTACTGTGTAGTAGAATTATAGATGTGTCTGTGGCGACATTAATCTGAAGTTTTTTCTCCAGTAGTATCAGAAGGTAAACTCCATTGTCCGCTAGGAATACAACATTGTATTTACCAGCAGAGATTTACTGCCAAGTTTATTGATCAAATGCTGATAATATACAATTCAATGGAAACTCCCATGAAATCATTTTCAGTTTCCCATGTATTATTTCCTCCGTTGATACAGGCACTGATTAATAAATAACCAGTCATAATGTGTGTTAAAGGTACTTTGTCCATGTGTGAGCTAGATGATATTTCTCAGCTGGGCAGTCTGTCTGAATTGAAGGTCCATCACAGATCCTATTCGTTAGCCTATGGACTGTCATGGGTCCCACTTCTTAGGTTGACCGGCCATTGTTGATTCCACTCCCTATATCGGAGGTATCCAAACTTTCTAAACAAAGGGCTGGTTTACTGTTCTTCATACTTGGGGGGCGACAGATGGTGTTCTGGGGTATTTCCTCCCAGATCTGGACCAGGGCATCAGTGAGCTCCTGGACGGTCTGAGGTGCAACCGGGTGGCGTCGAATGGACCGAAACATGATATCCCAGAGTTGTTCTATTGATTTAGGTCAGGCGAGCGTGGGGGCCATTCAATGGTATCAATTCCTTCATCCTCCAGGAACTGCCTGCATACTCTTGCCACATGAGGCCGGGCATTGTCGTGTACCAGGAGGAGCCCAGGACCCATTGCACCAGCGTAGGGTCTGACAATGGGTCCAAGGATTTCATCCCGATACCTAATGGCAGTCAGGGTGCCATTGTCTAGCCTGTAGAGGTCTGTGCGTCCCTCCATGGATATGCCTCCCCAGACCATCACTGACCCACCACCAAAACCGTCATGCTGAACAATGTTACAGGCAGCGTAATGTTCTCCACGGCTTCTCCAGACCCTTTCATGTCTGTCACATGTGCTCAGGGTGAACCTGCTCTCATCTGTGAAAAGCACAGGGTGCCAGTGGCAGATCTACCAATTCTGGTGTTCAATGGAAAAAAACAATCAAGCTCTATGGTGCCGGGCAGTGAGCACAGGGCCCACTAGAGGATGTTGGGGACTCAGGCCACCCTTATGAAGTCTGTTTCTGATTGTTTGGTCAGAGACATTCACACCAGTGGCCTGCTGGAGGTTATTTTGTAGGGCTCTAGCGGTGCTCATCCTGTTCCTCCTTGCACAAAGGAGCAGATACCGGTCCTGCTAATGGGTTAAGAACCTTCTACGTCCCTGCCCAGCTCTGCTAGAGTAACTGCCTGTCTCCTGGAATCTCCTCCATGCTCTTGAGACTGTGCTGGGAGACACCGCAAACCTGGCAATGGCACGTATTGATGTGCCATCATGGAGGAGTTGGACTGCCTGTGCAACCTTTGTAGGGTTCAGGTATCGCCTCATGCTATCAGTAGTGACACTTAGCCAAATGCAAAACTAGTGAAAAATAGTCAGAAAAGATGAGTAGGGAAAAAAATGTCAGTGATCTCCACCAGTAAAACCATTCCTGTTTTGGGGATCGTCTCATTGTTGCCCATATAGTGCACCTGTTGTAAATTTCATTAACACCAAAGCAGCTGAAACTTATTAACAATCCCCTCTGCTACTTAACTGACCCGATCAATATCCCAGGAGTTTCAATGACTTGATGCTTTACTCTGATTAAAACGTGTTCCTTTAATTTTTTTGAGCAGTGTACGTTGTATCTGAAAAATTGAGTCTTGTTTATCAAAGTGTCTAAAAGAACAACTGTCTGTGCATCTGAAGATAGATGAAGCACCACTTGGCCCTACATGTGTGGAAAGGTCCATTACTGTGTGTGACTACAAAGTCAGTAATACAGAATATTTCAGTTAGTTACACTTTTGCTCAAGTATGAATTTTATAAAAATGAATTGAGAACTCAGCAGCCCCAAAATGTGTGATTGTAGAAAAGAACAATAAAGGCCTTCAGGTGGCACATAATCAAAATCACGTCTTTGATATTCAATAAACATCTCCTATATAGTGTTTTGCCATGTGTGCTATTAACAGTGGTACGTAGCAAACTTTCTAGACACGGATGTCACGTTGAAATTTCTTTTCCATTACTTCCCACAAGAGATATAAATATTCAAGTGACTGAAATGTTCCTTGAGTAGAAGGTGCCTAGGGAGCAGACAATGGTCTGTGTGAATGTGTGATATGTGAATCAGATATCTACATCTTGTCCTAGGTCTACAGAGCATTGTGGCAATGTGTCCCTGAGGTCTGCATGCTGTGCTCAGCTGTACCGATGTGTTCAGTGTTTTCTATGGAAGATAACACAGAGGAGTACTCTCTATGATACTTATTTTAGTTGCACTAAAGCCTTGTACACATGATGAGAAAATAGGACAAAAATTACTGCTTTTGGAGTGATCGTCCGATCTGATTGTTAGTACAGAGCTTTCGAGAGTCGATCATGAGAGTTCATGTGAAAATATCTGAAGGGACAACCATGAAACATTTTCTTGCCTGTTAACAGAATTAACAATTTTCTTTTAATCAGTACAGTCAGTAATTAGTACAGTATTCAGCCATAAAAAATTCAGGTGGCCAAGACCACAAATGGTCAGAGATGAAAGAATACATTTCGATACATTGTATCACTTCTGAAGTTGTATTCTGTCATACGAGAATTCTCCTCATTTTAGTAATCTCTTCATTTTTTTTATATAAATCTAGCATGCAAAAAAAAATGTCCAATATTGTCATTGTGTGAATGAGGGTTAACAGTTAATTTTTCATGACAAGCTTTCGGGGGTCAACCTCCTTCTTCTTGGTCCAAGCGGTACTGAAAAGAAGGGGGGTGGAAACCCAAAAGCTTGTTCTGAAAAATTAGCTGTTAATCAGGGGCGGACTGACAACTCATGGGGCCCCCGGGCAATAGGGGATCATGGGGCCCCTGAATCCTTGCCCAAACTCAAAAAAGCCTATGAAAAAGGTACCAGGGGCATCTCTTGGGGCCCCCTACTGACCCCGGGCCCTCGGGCAGTGCCCGAGTTTCCAAATGGCCAGTCCGCCCCCGCTGTTAATGCAAATGACTGAAGTATCCTGGACCGTGATGCTGCATATGCACCAACATGGCTACCCATAGTATAAGAGATATAGGCGCACCATAGGAGCCATTGTTTTCTTTCATGTTCCTGCATTTCTGTTTATATATATCGTGGACACATAAAAGTGAAAATTCTACATATCCCAGCTGTATAAAATACTGCAGAAATTAACCCTTTCCATGGAATTCAACAAGATCTGTAAACTGTCGGAGCACACCAAATCTGTGTGTGACGGGATTCAAATTGACATAAATATTAGGATGTTTGGTGGAATAAGTTCAGAAAAGTTTTGCTTAAAAGCTGTTTCCCCTGTACATCCCCCACCCCTCCCGTCCTGTGTTTTCTGGACTTGTTCACTGGACTGGGATGGAATCTCATAAAATGAGAGAAAATGTTTCTGCAGAGCCAGATTGGGACGTGCTGCTAAATAGCCCCAGTAGAGCTGTGGGAACACAGAGAAATTAAAGATCTCTAATTAACTCTTATAAAAGGGATTGAATACAAATGGGAGAGTTTCAACATCTGGTTTCAGTTTTACACTTTCCACATGTAACAAAAACTTCCAGTTGTGAACCTGAAGCATGTAATGAACTAAAACTCCCATCATGTCCTGGCTGTATGAGAGCCCCTGGATAGCGGGAGTCATCACCATGGGCAAGGAAAACTTTAGAATGTGCTCTGTAAGGGGTCACCCCCGCCTTGGGGGTCTCATTGATACCTGAATATTACACAACAGTCATCACTAGTATCATTGTTTCCTAATCTTTGACCTTTTCTTTACTCTCTGGCTGATTGCACCTTTCTTCTCTTTTTCTTGCAATACATTTCTATTGTTAGTTGGGTTTCTGGCCTCATTTCAGTACGATTTGTCTTTTTCTGGTAAGCTGTTCCATTACTCCTGTCCAATTTTAACTTCTAATGAATGATCCCTTTTGGATGCCCAAAACACACTAGCCTATTTCTTTGTATCGTTTTGGGCCCCTTTCACGTATTTTTTTTATCTTATATTGAAGTGCTTCAGGTTATTATTGTTTTGTAGTATGCTGACATCTAGTTGCAGTTTTGGGTCACTACTATGTGATTCTGGTATCTTCCTCTGTCCTCCCCTACTCTTTAGGGCTAGTTAGTTTAGGCCCAGATAGACCCTCCCCATTTTTTCAATGTTCCCTCAGGGCTCAGTAACATTCCCGTCTTCTTACACTTCAAAAGACTGGAACTGCAATACACTAAAGTAAAATTGCACTGGATTCAACTTTTGTGTCTTTGTTCTGTCTCTCCAACCTAAGCATTGACAGTGTGATCTCTGTAACTTACAGTTGTGATGAGATAGCGATAACTTCAACCTCAGTTGGATACCACAGTCAGTGACTCAATCAGAGTGATATCTTGCAGATCTTGTGAAGTTTATTCCATAAACTGAGAGAATCTTACAACAATTAATAGAATATAGGTCAAAAGATCATAGTGTTTCTGCTCCATGCCATGAGGCTGCAATGCATTCCTGGGAAAGGGGGAGGGCTATCTATACAACATTAACTAAACCAAAGGAAAGGGAGGAACAGAAACAAAATATAGAAAACATTTAAAGGCATATGACAGTCATGTGAAACATGACAGTCTTATTGAAGAGTTAAGCTGCCTGTGGATGGTGCCAAGTCAGCAGCTGACCATAGTGTCTGGGTCTAAGGAGATATGTCACTGCATAAAGTGGCATTTTAAGATGAGTCTCTGTGGCTGCATGGAGTTGAGCAGGAGTTCTGTTCTCCTCTTGCTGTCGACTGCTGAAACAAGATTTGGACGGAGACAAGGAGGGGTGCCACAGCTGCAGGAGAGGTGCAAGGGCCACATGAAATAACCTGGCATGCTGGATTTGGCCCAGAGGCCTTGTTTTTTACACATGTGCCTTAGATTGTAAGCTCCTGAGGGCAGGGACTGATGTGAATGTAATAAAAGAACCGTGTATGTTTTTGGTGTTCTATAAATACCAGCAAAAATTAAATAATCCCACATCTAGCATTTTGATTGAGCTGCTGATGTTATAACAGAGACAAGATGCTCGCCAGTGCCGATCCCCAAGTTATAGAAATTGCTTTTGCCTCAGTAACACCGGCAATTTTCTAACTATATGGAGAGAAATCACATACATGGAGCTAGAAATGACTGTTCTGGGACAGAGGCGAGCCTTGCGGAATGTCACCACCACTAATTCTGTATGACATAGCGCACTGCGTGTGATTTATACACATTATACTGGGGCTCTATGGCCACGCTCTATCAAAACACGACTAAAGCCATGATTTATGGCATGCTGGAGAGCAGCAGCTACAAATGATACTATTAACGTTTTATTTAATGCTGGGTGAGAAGGTTCACAAAAGCCAACACATTCTCAATGTAGAACTGAAATCAGAACTTGGCACAGGAACCGAGAACAACTTAATGCTGTCATACCATAACTAATTACTAACGTGCCAAACCCTCCCACTGCTGCATGGGGGGCATTTCCAAATCCAGTTCTGCTAATCGGAATATAATGTGTAATAGTGTATATGTGTGTATAACGTGTAACAGGAAGAATTCTATTGCTGATGGACAATAACACACATGTTGGAATTATTGCCTGATCAACATTGATTGCATTTGTACACATCTTGTTCACCATCTTCGTGAAGATATGGAAATATCTGGCAGTGCGATGCTTTAGGGCTCATGCAAAACACACCAGTTTTACAGACATTTGGTTTTTATTGTTCTGCATTAAACATCCCCTTAGGTTAGGCTATGTGTCTGTGCACAAATAGGAGTTTAGAGGCAGAAAAAATAACATCATTCCCCATTCAGGAGAGGAGCATTTGAACAGAGAAAATGCTTGACGTGTCTACAGTGGGTATAAAAAGTCTACACACCCCTGTTACTGTAAAATGTCAGGTTTCTGTGATGTAAAAAAATGAGACAAAGATAAATCATTTCAATACTTTTTCCACCTTTAATGTATCATGTTAAATAGGAGTCAGTACACACCTGCCATCATTTAAAGTGCATCTGATTAACCCCAAATAAAGTTCAGCTGTTCTAGTAGGCCTTTCCTGACATTTTCTTAGTCGCATCCTACAGCAAAAGCCATGGTCTGCAGAAAGCTTCCAAAGCATCAGAGGGATCTCATTGTTAAAAGATATCAGTCAGGAGAAGGTACAAATTAATTTCCAAGGCATTAGATATACTATGGAACACAGTGAAGGCAGTCATCATCAAGTGGAGAAAATATGGCGCATCAGTGACATTACCAAGAACTGGACATCCCTTCAAAATTGATGAAAAAGACGAGAAGAAAACTGGTCTGGGAGGCTGCCAAGAGGCCTACAGCATCATTAAAGGAGTTGCAGGAATATCTGGGAAGTACTGTCTGTGTGGTACATGTGACAACAATCTCCTGTATTCTTCATATGTCTGGGCTATGGGGTAGAGTGGTAAGACGGAAGCCTTTTCTTACAAAGAAAAACATCCAAGCCCGGATAAATTTTGCAAAAACACATCTGAAGTCTCCCAAAAACATGTGGTAAAATGTGTTCTGGTCTGATGAAACCAAGGATGAACTTTTTTGGCCATAATTCCAAAAGATATGTTTGGTGCAAAAACAACATTGCACATCACCAAAAGAACACCACACCCACAGTGAAGCATGGTGGTGGCAGCATCATGCTTTGGGGCTGTTTTTCTTCAGCTAGAACTGGGGCCTTAGTCAAGGTAGAGGGATCTATGAAAAGTTCCAAATACCAGTCCATATTGGCAAAAAACCTTCAGTGTTCTGCTAGAAATCTGAACATGAAGAGTAACTTCATCTTTCAGCATGACAATGACATAAAACATTCATCCAAATCAACAAAGGAATGGCTTCACCAGAAGAAGATGAAAGTTTTGGAATGGCCCAACCAGAGTCCAGACCTGAATCCGATCGAAGAACTGTGATCTGAAGAGGGCTGTGCACAGGAGATGCCCTCGCAATCTGACAGATTTGGAGTGTTTTTGCAAGGAAGAGTGGGCAAATATTGCCAAGTCAAGATGTGCCATGCTGATAGATTCATACCCAAACAGACTGAGTGCTGGAATCACATCAAAAGGTGCTTCAACAAAGTATTAGTGTAAGGGTGTGCACACTTATGCAACCATATTATTTTAGTTTTTACTTCACCTAAAAGATTTCAGTTTGTTGTTCAACTGAGTTGTACAGTTTACATTACAGGTTACAGTAAAGGTGGAAAAAGTTCTGAAATGATTTATCTTTGTCTCATTTTTTTACATCACAGAAACCTGCCTGACATTTTAACAGGGGGATGTAGATTTTTTATATCCACTGTAAACAGAAAAAAAAATGATAAAAACCGGGATCCACTGCCAAAATGTTGTAAAGATAATGTAGCCGACTCACCAACATTGAAGGTGGTGTTCTCAGGACCAGAAGGACATGTATGGCAACATTGTCATTGTGTTTTATCTCGTGCAGGGTGGAGGGTGCAGGGTGGAGGGTGGAGGGGTAATTGCATCAGTACTTATTGCATGTTGTCAATAAATATTTTCAAGCCGCAGGATTGTTCTCTTTGGGACTTCTTATTGTGGGCCCTTTACCCACATGTTTATCCACTGGAAATGCCTGTAAAGGCACCTAAGCGTTAGGCATTTTTAGAACCTGAGTGTTCATTCATTTCAATAGCCAGAATAAATGAATATTGTGGCTTGTAGAAAGAATGAACAACCAGATGCTTAACACACCTAAATGTGCCTGAACGCAGTTGCAAAATGTGGCTTAAGTCACTTTTCTTCTGCCAGGAGAAAAGGCGTTCAGGGGAACTGGACAAGTGCCTAGTGTGCATGAGGCCAAAGTAGTTTGTATATTTGCCTTGCAGCACTGGGGTTCTGGGTTCAGTTTTTACCTGTCGGGTATTTGCATGTTCTGTGTTTGTGTGATTTTCTCTGGATGTCCCAGTGATCAAAATGTGCCCAAAACACTGTATGTAAAACTGGTAACTGTGTCAGAGCTACAGTATATAAATGTATATAAT